GAACTTTTTGCAATACTTACTGGAAGCTACTTCTGGAAAGTGCTGCTGTTGCTTCACCCGGTGATCACTCCTCGCTCCTGGGGCTGAGGCAGGGGCCTCCCTCTGACAGTGCTCTCATTTCTGAGGCTCATGGCTCCCTTGACATTGCTCCCAGCCTGATGCTCGGGCCTTTCTCTGCCGCTGCTTCCAGACTGATGCTCCTCCGGGCCTGTAGCTCAAACCTACCTTTGACGCTGCTCCCGGCTCTGAGGCTCAGTGGTTCCTTTGACACTGCTCTGGGCCTGACGCTCAGGCCTTTCTCCCTGCTGCTGTTGTTACTGAATAAACAGTTACAGGTTTAATCACAGTGTTAGCCTTCTAGGATTTCAGAGAATTCAGACCTAGAGACATGCTATTAGGAGGTGACATGCCAGACACCACCTTTTTTCTATACGTTTGGGATTGCCCCATTTTCTCATTTATCCTGTTTTCTTTTGAGCTTTGTGAGTGGTCTGCCTTCTCTAGAGAAGAATAAGAATCTAACATTGTGTTACCAGCTATCACTTAGATGGAACAACTAACACTCCTCTTCAAAGGTCAATAGGTAATCTCAGCCCATACCATAGCCTCACACCCAACTCCTGCAACTTCCCTCACCGCCAGTAACGACAGTGAGATACATTCAGGAAGTGTGTTGTCTTTTTACCAACAGATTCCATCCACTGTCTATGCCACATAAGCTCAAGTTTTGTAGGCAGAAAAAAACCAGTCTCTATCCAGGCGCAGACTGTACATAACCTTGTCTTTCACTGTGAGGACCCAGAGTATCACGGTGTTGAGGAAAGCCCAGAGTCAGCTGTGAGCTTCCAGCTGAGAAAGCAGAAGGTGTAAGCACCCCATTTTTGTAACTAGTCCTTATAGATAAAAAGGCAATCTAAACATTACAGACTCTCAGAACCAGATTTCGCATGCATACCTAACACCATCCAGCAACAATCTTTTTCTTGTGTTGATTTTCCAAAGACTGTGTACTTCTAAATTTTATTTTTATTTATTGGGGGGGTCCTTTTGTTTATTTATTTCTTGTTTTCACATCCAGACCAAAGTTTCCTCTCCTCAGTGTAGTCTTTGTAAGCCTCTATGAGCCTAGGTTAATTAGTTCTGTGAGTTTTCTTGTGGTACCCTTGACCTCACTGGCTCCTATAATCCCCCCTTTCCTAGACTTCCCCAAGCTTCACCTAACATTTGACTGTGGGTCTCTGCAGCTGTTTCCATCCTAGAGGAGGGATAGTCCAGAGGCCTAGGCTAGAACCAAACACCATAATTGGCAAAAAAAGAAAAGAAAAAGTCAATGAAATGGATCCTAATGATATCCTTTATACTCATAGATTGCTGCCTAGCCCAACTGTCATCAAAGATCTTTTATTTTTATTTTATGTGTATGAGTGTTTTGTAAGCATGTATGTTAAGTGTACTGCATGTATACCTGATACTTTTGGAGGTCAGAAAAGGACACTATACCCCATGGAAAGGTAGTTACCAGTGGCTATAAGCTGCCATGTGGCTGCTGGGAACCAAACCCAGAAACTGGCTCCTCTACAAGAACAGCAAATGTTCTTACCCATTGAGCCATCTTTCCAAAATCCTCTTACTTAAGAAGACTTAAGAGGCCTCTGTGAATCACTGTGAGTTCAAGGCCAGCCTGGTCAACATAGGGTCCAGTATAGCCAGAGCTATACAATGAGACCTTGCCTCAAAAAAAAAAAAAGAAAAGAAAAGAAAAGAAAAAGAAAAAAAAACCTCTTTGAGTTAAAATCTGAGATAATCTCATTTTATAGATGAAAGAGTTAGGCATAATGTTGTTTGGTATACTCAAGGCCCTAGATTCAGTCCTCAGAGCAGAGAAGAACTGGCTGGAGGGAGGGAGGGAGGGAGGGAGGGAGGGAGGGAGGGAGGCAGGGAGGGAAAGAAGTAAGGAAGAGAAATGGGAAAAGAAGGAAGAATGGAAGGCATGGAAGAGGAAGAAAGAATAAATGGGAGGGGAAAAGTTAAAAAATGTTGTTAGCCAAATAAATGGCAGAGGATAGTGTCACCTCCAGCCCTCCATTTCCAAAGGCTATGGGCTGCCTGTCTCTGTGAGTTAACTCACTTGAATGCTCATATCATGTTGTGTATCTGCCCCTTGCATTTGCTTCTGGCATAACTACTGGTCTTTTCTAAACTCTGAGTACAGCACTACCTAGTGGGAACACAGCATAAGTCATCAACATAGGCCACATTTGTAATCTAGATTTCCCAGTAGCCACATTTTTAAAGATAGAAAATAACTGTGTGAAATTAATTGTAATAATATCTTATTCAACCCAATGTATCCAAAGAGTCACTATTTCAGTATATATTACTATATAAAGTATTAACGAAACAATTTACACACTTTTGAACTACATCTTTGCAGTGTGTGCTTTACACAGGAACCCCATCTTAGTCCTAACTACCCCACTTCAGTTGTTCAACAAGAACACATAACCAGTAGTCACAAAACTGCCTCTGGCAAGTATAAAGTCATACATCTTTTTCATAATCTTGGGAGCTCATTTTGGGAAACTCACAAGGCTCAAAGGGGAAGTAGCTGCCCACATGAGGTGTATGAGATTCAATAAGAGAAAAAAATAGATAGCAGCATTATAATTGACTCCTTGTTGCCTAAGGCAGCCTACAAACAAAAATCACAGAATCAGTGTCACTTTAGAAGAGGCGCCATGTGCTCTCGTACTCTTGGATGGTGCTGGGCACAATGTGAAGACCAGGCAGTTCCACAGCCCTGGTCAGAGAGTGGCAGGAGAAGACAGTTCACCAACATCAGATGTGGCCACTGTCACCCCTAGTCCTTCTCATGTCCATGCTCCCTCCTGCCCTGGACTGAAAGGCAAGGTATATGAACTAGACTGCACATGGAGAACACTAAGAAACTCAAGCGCTTCTCTTCACCCCCAACCCAATGAAGACTCCTCTAGTTCAAGGCTTCTTGAATTTTTGTGGACTTGTTAAAAGTTCAGATTTCTCTGTTTTCCTTCCAGAGCTCTGGATTCAGGAAGTCTGGAGGGGTGCTGATACTGCAGGTCAGAGAAGCACATTTTGAGAACTCAGCCTCAACCTTAAGTTATTCGTGTAGCATTCAGTAGCAAGAACAAATTACGGCTGGGGGTTTGGCCCGGTTGGCAGTGTCTGCTTAGCATGTCTAAAGCCCTGGACTCAGTCTCCCTGCATAACACTGGGTAGAGTGCCACATGACTATAATCCCAGCATTGAAAGGCAGAGGCAGGAAGATCAGAAGTTCTGGGTCATTCATCCTCAGCTACACAGTAAGTCCAGCCTGAGCTACATGAGACCCAGTTAGCAAGCACTTTATCAACTGAACCGTCTCCCAGCCCTTAAATATGATTTTTAAATAAATGATGTATCTTAGTCTTTCTCTCCTATCTCTCCCCTTTATTTCCTATAGCATAGAAAGAATGAAGTAGTTGTGCCTGAAAGAGAGTGGGTGGGAGGAGGAAAGAGGTTTGGAAGGCTGAAGGGAAAGAGGAAACAGGGCTGCTGTAGATTCCCAGGGTTCAGGTGGTGGAGCAGCATGTGACTTGGGTGCTCAAGGAGCAAGAGACAGGTCCCCTCTTCTGGGCAAAAACTCAAGGCGCCTCAATCTCTTCCACTAGTCACAAAGGCATCTTACACAGATAGTGTCTTCCTCTTTGTTTTTTGAAGAGGGAAGACCATGATTAGTCAGTATGTGAAAATGGACAATCACTTCGACTGTCCCCATTCCTGGGCTCGTTCCATGTTTGTTTTGTTCCCTCCCTGCCTATGTGCAGGCATTTTTTTTATCTCTAACATTGCAGGCCATGGGGATGAGGCAGGCGTGAGACTTGCTGACTTGCAAGCAGCTGGGAATTTGGAATGTGTCTCTAAAGATACACACTGAGCCTGGCTCGGAACTTCCAAGAAAACTCAGTGGGAGGGAAGGAAAAACAGTGCAAAGCCATGAAGCCGTGTAGGGCCCGCCTTGGCCTCCCTCACTGGACTGCCCAGAGCTCACATTCCAACTGCACTGCAGTGACCCAATGTTCTGGTAAACAAGGAGGGGACAGGATGCACAGAAATCAGATCAGGCTACCTCCAGAGCTTTGAAACCGACACAGGAGGCCTGAGATGGGGAGGATAGGAATGAGATAGCCTCTGTGCATATCCTGGATCAGCAAGATATATTCACAACACCCCGTGCATGCATCCACCCTTACCTACTTCCAATGGGGCTTCAACAGACACCACCACTCAGATGTCCCAGCCTCTCAAAGGTCAGAAACATTTCTCCTTTGGACCCTTCCCAAGAACCCCAGGTCACACGGGTGTGCAAAGGGTGAAGTAAGGAGACACTGACTCAGAATGAGCCAGACCCTGGACTAATGGTGTCCACTCTAAGCCTCCCAGAAAGACAGACACAGTCTTCAGTTCATTTCTCCATTTGACTTCATAGTATCACTGACTAATGATGCTAGCATTCTTAAGCTCACCCTCCCTGCCTCACTGCTGCTCTACCCTGTTTTCCTCCAACTCCACTTCTGTTTCATCAAGCAGTAGATGAGCCTAAGCAGTGGTCAGAGGGGTTCAGTCAAAGTCTGAGGAGTGTGCTGACTTATAATGTGAAGTTCTGGAAGTTTCTCCTCAACAGTGTCCTTCTCAGACAGCCTGTATAGCTCCTCTTCCCATATATGATATTCTGTATAGCTATATTCTATATTCTTTGTGACTAAAGGCTTTATAACCTCCATCAGCATGACTGGTAACTAGACAGTGTGCTACTTGAAACAATTCCTGGGCAAAGCCATCAGTTAGAGCATGGGACCCATCTCCCGAACAATGGGCCTGTCTATCATCCTGCATGTCCCTCCCACCTGTCACAGCCTACCCTGCTTCTCAGGTTATTTTCCTTGCTGTGACTGATTTATCTTTATTTTTTTATACTGGTCTTAAATATTCATTCCTTTATTTCCTTGTAGAATATTCAGATTCAGGCGATACCCGCATCTCTCTTCTGAAGCAGGAAAAAGGCGGGTTTCAGATTTTCCTACGTAAACAGCTGGATGACTCCTCACTCAGACTCTGAGTGGAGTGCTCTGGCAGCTACGGGAGCTGATTTTCAATTCCAGTGATGCAGTGTCCAGTGGGTATTGTCAGCTTTGAGTCACCAAATGACCACACCCTGGTTTTGGGACAAACAGAACAGCATTAAAAAATGATGACGTGTTTGAGTATTCATGGCAAGAGCTTCACAGTATTCCCCTCTGTCCCTTTGCTGTGCTCTAAGTAATATGTCTATTTTTGATGATATTGAGTGCTGCCTACAAGATTCCAGTCCCCCCCCTGCCCCCACCCCACTCTCCCCATCCCACCCCACCCCCTCTTTTTTTTTTAACCTGAAGCCATGTTAAGGCCAGACTGGAATAAACCAAAGTATTATACAAACCCACATCTATCTGATTCTTTGCAAAACTAACTTAACCTCTGAACATGGTAGACCCTGATATTCAACAGAGACCTTTCCTTTCCCACTGGTTGTCCTCTTCCATCTGGTACTAGGACTTAGTACCAGACAAGAACTAGACACAGCAAATTCTTTGGAATCTTGATAGGTTATCTAGACAAAGGTTTAGAGAAAACAGAAAACTATTGGCCCAGTTAAGTGACAGGGGCATATGGTTTAGAGACTTGGGGATTAAATCTATTCCATGAAGACTGGGTGCCAAGCCAAACTCTTCAAGGCAGGGCTTCTCAACAGACTGTCCATCTGGAAACAGACAACATATTCACATAAAGAGTAAAGTTGGGAGACTGGAGGGCTTCGATTTCTTACCTGGACCTCCCAAACATCTCGTGTCACTTCCGTTGACCTACCTTCGACCACTTTCCACATTCACAGATTTGTCTCTCAGTTTTCAATTTTTGTTATTAATCACACTTATTTTAAACTGATGCATACAACCATGAAAACTGATTGCACTAATGAGGTATCACGTATGTTTTCATATAACCATATATGACCATTTCTGACAATACCCATCTTCCATCATTCCCTCCCAAACAAATGGATATGTGGACATGGATTTGGAAAGCAGATCCTTCTAGTTTGCTTCTTATTTGCTGTGTGGCTCAGGCTATGCTTTAAACTTGTCAGCTACAAAACATAATAATTATCAGACCTTTATTGTCTTGTCAGAAAAATTAAAATAAAATTATAGACCAACAGATATAGAGCTGGTACTCAACTAATGTGCATGACTGATGTTAGGTCTCTTGCTGGAGACTGGTGCAACCTTCTCTTCTGGAGTGAGCAAGTCCTAGAACGATGGAAATAGAATGTCAGAGGCAGAACACTCAGGACTCCATCGAACCCTGCTTCTTCATTTTGGAAGGAACTGGGCCCAGAGGAGGTTAACTGGCTTGTCCAAAGTCATATGCCTCTTTGATTCCTAGTGTCAAATAAAAAAAAAATTGAATGGAGCAATAGAGAGCATTGGCTTTGAAGTCAGACACCTCTGACCTGCCAGTGCGGTAGCTTTAGACATAGGATTGGCCTGATTCTGCCTCATTTCCTCCTACAGGGCATTGGGATAATGGAGCTAGATAGGCAGGAATTGCATGTGGGGTGGGGTGGTGTTCTAAATGGGATAAGATATCCTGGGAGCCCCAGTCACTTGCTGGGGTTCCTGCTGGTTCATACTGTCATTAAACCATCCCAGGGCTGGTTCGAACAGGAGGAAACCAGTAGGAGGGAATGAGTAGCTGTAATGAGCATGGCCTGCATGCTGAAGCCAGGACATTTAGGGATAACTTTTGCTTGCCAGTCTCCTAATGAGAGTTCCACAACAGAGTTTGATGCAGTGAGCCAGAAAGCATTTTTAGCAAGTGAGAGACAGACCATGTGTGCATGCGGGAGGGGGGCGCAGGTAGGCAGAGGAAGTAGTCCTTCGTGAAGGCTTTTAAATGACCTTTTAGACTATAGCCCAGAACAATTTTTAAATCATCCTCATTTCTAGGCACCAATATGTTTTGAGTTGGCCGCACAAAGTGGGAGGTGGCTTTGAGACACGCAGCCCATTTTTCAGATGCAACCCAGCAATGTTTTGAAATAAGGAACACCGGCAAGGTTTGCAATGAACAGTGAGTTCTAGCGTCTATTTTTTCCCCAAGATGAATATGGACAAGAGTGATGAGACACCCCACAGCTGGCTCAGCCCTGCCTGAATGATCCAATTACAGATTCCGAAATGGACCCAGGGACAGAATTTAAAAGCCTGAGGTAGAAGGGCAAAGATGATACAGCTCTGCAGCTGAGCAAATGACCGACTCCAGAACGTTCCCCAGAGAGAAGCAGGTTTAGAAAATATTGTGTGGGTAGTTTCCAAATGCCCCAGGGGAATTAGGGGTGACATTTCTTGGCACAATTAGTTTCAAGTGGATTGGAGTTTGTCTTAGTCTGCTTTTATGTTTTTATAATGAACAGAAAAGTATTGCTTATCATGTTGGAGCCTGGGAAGTGTAAGATCAAGGAGTTAGCAGGTTTGGTATCTGGGGATTCAGTGTTTCCTGCCAGTGTGGAACCTTGACTGCAATAATGTCCATAGGATTAGAACACCGTTCCTTGCCTGTCAGAGAAAGCCCACTTGTACAAGCCACTTTGCATAGTGACATCAGGCCATTCATGAGACCGCAGTTCTCATGACCTCAACATCATACCCCCAAGACCCTACACAGGCACCTAAGATTGTTCTCACCCCATGAACTCTGGAGAGGATTCAAACTATGGCCAGGCCAGGGGAGTGGGGAAGGGCTACAGAGTGAGTTCTAAGATAGCCAGAGCTACACAGAGAAAGCCTGTCTTGAAAAACCAAAAGTAAGTAAATAAATAAGGTTTATATGAATAAGTAGTATAGTTTAATCAAATCCGTTCCTCTTTCCCTCTACCACCAATTTTTCCTCACAACTTCATGGGCTCATGCTCTTTTTTGTTTTTAACCCATCAAGCCCTCGTAGTGCTGACTATGCATGCACAGATGTAGAAGCATCTACTGAAGCATGGTTAGCCTTTCAGGGTCTAAATCCCTGAAGAAAATCGACTCTCTTTTCCCCAGCAAGCATCAGTTACTACTAGTTCCACACATAGGGGTGGGACTTCAATGAGCCCCTCCCCCATCCACACTGGAATTTTGGCTGGTTTGATCTTGTGCAGGTCTTGTGGATGCAGTCACAGCACCCGTGAGCTCATGTGTGAGGCATCAGTGCCATGCTTCTCCACAGGGGTCCACAGCCTCCAACTCTTACAGTTTTTCTGCACACACTTGCCTTCCACGAAGACCTTGAGTCTTGGGGGAAGGGGCCGTGATACAGCTGTCCTATTCAGAGGTGAGTACTCTACAGTCTTACTCTTTGCACACTGACCAATAGCAGGTATCTTTGCTTATTGCATCTGCTGAAGGGAAAGGCTTCTCTAACAAGGAGTGAAAGATGCACTACTCTATTGATATGAAGGTAAAAACTGGAACTGGAGAGATGGCTCTCCAGTTAAGTGCATATATTGCTTTTCCAGAGGACACAAGTTTGTTTTATAGCACCCATGTCAGGGGGCTAACAACTATCTGTAATTTCAACTCCAGGGGAATCTAACATCCTCTCTTGGCTTCCTTGGGAATGGTACTCAAGTGTACAAACAAACACAGACGTACATATTTAGACATAATTAAGAACATAAATAATTTTTTAATCATGAAACCTTAAGGAACAACATGTTACTATGTCCATTTAGCGTATTGGAGTATTAGATTATTCCCTAAGACTATGACCTAGCTAGTCACAGTCTTAGGCCCAGTTAACAGTACCAGGCATGAGTTCCATCTTAGCATATATGGCCTTAAATACAATTTTAAAATGTCTGTTTACTCCCATAACATTCATGCCACTATTGTACCCTTAAGCCTGTCTTCCCAGGCCAGTCATTGCTGTCATTCACTGAGTTCACAGATGAGTAAAACTGTAGATCATTTTTTTCCTGGTAGCATGCTTAGACCTTCCAGCCCTATTAAAGCAAACCAGTAGAGATGGAACTTTCAAATCAGTATGTGTTTGACTTATCCATGTCCTTTGAGTCTAGCATGTGCTGTCTTTAGTGATAGGATCTTACCATCAAGTTCTGGGAGGGAGGGGTAACCAAAGAGTAGTAGCAATAGGTTGTAGTATGTATGTATGGGGGTGGTCTATAGGACCCTACTGACAAACATGTAAAAAAGAGGTAGCTTTTACCTGGCACTGGAGTTTTTATTTGATAGTTTATGATGTCTGGGGAAAGTGTTGTCTCCTCATTATAGAGTTTTTTTAAGCAGCAAACATCCCTTGACTCATTAGATAAGGTGGCATAGAAACAAACTATTATATTAAGCTGTTACAGTAGCTCACACAGCTAATGTATTCATCTTCTTTTGTCTTCCTCTCTTATTCTTTCCCTCTGCTCTTTATTCCCTGAAGTGATAAAGGTCTAAGAGAGAGAGTGAAGAGGATGTGACGTAGTCTGGAGAGATGGTTGTGTAGGTGAAGTCAGAACTCTCAGTGAATTAGGCGGCTTCCTTCCTCAGATGCCCCTCCTAGAGCATCCTCTTCATGATGCAGATACAAAGCTTGCTGCAGCTTTCTGGGGAAAAGAGAGTAGATTTTCTTCTGTCTAAACCTCAGGTCCCCTCCACCCTGCTGTGGTCTTCCTTTACAGCCTCCTTCCTTTCTCTGGGCACCAACTCTTCTGCCATTTTCACAGTTAATAGAAGGTGGGGAAGGAGGCCTGGATGCCATTTTTGGACTACGATCATGGGTCTAAATTCCTTTCTCTTCTAGCCTCTTCTGTCTCTCTCCTCTCCCATGCCTCACAAGCAAACCTCACGCAGAAACGAGAGTGTGAGGAGTCTCAGGGTGTAGACCACACACAGGAAAGCGAGTTGTAGGCAGGTAGTTCACTGAAGTGCAGCTTTCACTCCTTCATTTCTTCTCCATCTTACTTAGAGTTTTCGTGGTTCTGGATCTGCTCTACTAAATGTCAGGCTTCATTGTTTTCTAGTGTCCTCTGTCTCATCTTGCCCCCTAAATTTATATGAAATGCTAGGAGTTTGCTTTTACTCTTCTTGTTAACCATGCCTTTCCCTTTTCACATCAGACTAAAGCCTCTCTTTCCATAAGACGCCGAGGAAGCTGATTGTCCTATTGTACTTTAGCTACGTTACAGAACAAGCAGACTTAATGATCATCGTTCTATTTTCAGAACTTGGAGTCTGCTCTACAGCGCTGTGCTTCTCCCTAATCAGCACTTCCTGGGAATCCCACTCTAGCGGGACCTTTATATAGAGCCTCTAACATCTGTTCTCTTACTCTGCAGAAGAGGGAACTGGGAAGCTATCTAAAAACTGTATGTGACAGACGTCTTTCCTCAGGTGGACCAGCAATGAGGCTGTAAGTTCTCACTAATGCAGTTAAATAATGACCCATACTTTGGATCAGGATTCAGCCCTGGTAGTAGACACCATGCTAGACACTATATTTGAGTCATAGCCAATTTCTACATCTTCACTTGAGAGGAACCACATGTTTGTCAGCATTATTTGGAGTTTTCTGTCACCTAGTTAATCCTACTCAGTCTTTTAGCTTCTGAAGGTAGCAGCCAGTGTTTCTTCTGTCTTGTCCTCCCTGTTTTACTGCTTGCTTCCTTCCCTTCTTTCTTGTTCCCCTTATAGAACCATACTGCACTAAGCTATCTGGGGTCTTTGTGGTTATCCTACCCACACCCTGCATTTCACATTGAGGAAGTGAAGACTCCAGCAAGGGGAAGAACTTGGACTCAGCAGACCTAAGCCAAGGACACACACTCATCTCTTGACACTGTAGTCCTGAGTTTTCCCTCTCCCAACCTCCTCTAAACCAGACCAGTCCTTCCTTGGAATCTTCCTATGAGCACACAGTTCCTTTCCTTCTAGATCAGTCTAAGCACAAATAAAACAGCATCTTTTCTTTGGGAAACCCAGAGCTTGTAGACAAACAGGAAGATCACAGCTTTAAGTTGTTTGTTTTCACATTAGTGTGAAAGTCAATTACATTTTCCATTATCAGGTTTCTATGCTATTGATTTTTTTTCTTCTTAGGGACGTGGTCTGGGATACTGTTCCCTAGAGAGCCCTTCAGATCTGAAGAATCTAAGCAGGACTCAGTGGCTAGCCTACAGTTGTCCGAAGACAGGGAGGGCAACTATGCTGATGCTAATTGTTATGCTTTGGATGTTA